GTCTCATGATCTAAGCAAAATATCTAAAATTTTTGGCCAGAATGTGATAGGAATGGCCTTTAGTTCACTTCCCAACAGAGTCTCCATTTCTTTCTGAAACCTTATGAGTCTGCCCTTCACTGTACACATTCTTCTTGGTGTTCAGTACTTCTGAGTTCCCACCAGAGTCACCCATTTCTCTTTGCTTATAGTGTTTTGAATTTTTTCTAACCTGCTTCTCAAAACTCTTCCAAATTTCTCCCCCAAAAAACAGCTTCAAAAGTTTAAGAACTACATGGCTAGGTTTATTCACAACAATGGCCCCATTTCTCAGGTGTCAACTTTCTATTTTAACTATTAGCTATTTTTGTGTACCTGTGGCCAGAATACCAGAGAAGACAACTCAAAGGAGAAAACAATTGTTTTGGCTCACAGTTTCAGAGGTTCAGTCCATTGTTGCTTGGCCCCATGTGGTTACAGGGGAGATGTTTCACCCTATGGTAAACATGAAGCATAGAAGAACCGTTCATATTCAAACTATAATGAGAAGAAGGATCAGGGTGTTAGGGCTATGGTAATACAGATCCATGAATGCTATCCCTGAAAGTTTTGCAAAGTAACAATAATTTCAAGATCTAAATGAGTACTTTTACAGTCCACAGATCATCTCTTAGTCTCAACTAGTTCCTCAACTGTAAGTTGATATTGATTTTTTTGGGAGAATTCAAAGTCCACTTACTCTGTCTTCCATTTTTAGCAGTAATATTTATCCCAAAGTATGTGTATATACATATTAGAAGAAACACAGTATATTTTGCTTAAGAGTCTTTTGTGTTCAGCCATTTTATGAAGTTTGATTTTATTTTTCTCAACATATAAATATGAAAAAAAGACTTTGACAATATAAGTTATATTTAGTATATTGATGAGCCAGAATTTTAAGCTATACTTGTCTCCAAAATCCATATTCTTAATTATAGAGGGTTTTTTTTGGTTCATCAATAAGATGATGTGATATAGTAGTGACAAATGCAGACTTAGGCTCAGCTAGTTTTGAACTACTTTTCACCATGATTCAGCTATGTGACCTGGCAGTACTGTTAAAGTATAGCTGGCACTTGGTAATATGATACAGAAATTAATACTACAGATTTCACTCTGTACAATCCCCAACATCTTTTTTTTTCTCTATATTGCATTTTCAGGTCTATGCTGGATTAAACTGAGACTTAGACAAAATCCTATGAATTTGCTATAGAAAGAAAAATAATTTTTGTCTGTTTCCCTTGGGATTTCCGGCACAGTGTGGGGTAGAGCCAGACTCACTGTGATTTGTCAGAATTCCTTGGGCAAGAGAGTTGGATTCCATAGGGAACTCACAGGGACCCCATTCCCAGAGCCTTTGTCTTGTTTGTTTGCCAGCAGCAAGTGCTGACTGGGGAAACAAATCTCTGAGGACAAAGGCAGCCACAACCCAGCTCAGGAAGAAACCATCATTTATAATTTGTGAAATCTCCCATGTGGTGCTGAAAAGGCTTCAAATGTTTTCTATATTTGGATCTGTAGTGGTTGCATTTAATATTATTGTGAATACATAGAAGATAGCCAGGTTTATGAACATGGTAAAAATGGGAGTGCCTCCCATGTGCAGTGCATAAAAAATGAATTGTCTCCTTTAATTTTAGATCATTCACAAAAAAAAATGGAAATGTAAAGTCTTATTACCAGGTGCCAATGTATGATGAGCCCTGATTATTCTCAATGAGTCCCCAGAATCTTCTGTAGAAAGTGCAGCTCCAGTGCAAGGGGCATCTTTGCTGCTTTTCTCGTTTCTAATGCAAGTCAGAGATATCCCAGTGTCTCTGGGGAAGTGGCAGATGTATAACTGTCTGTCTTCTCTGTCTGCAATAATCCCCTGTGCTATACAGACAGCTTCTGCTCTGCTGGATCATGGAAACTCTTACTTAGTCTTATCATTTAATTTGGGGAATTGAGAAAGTATTTGCACATCATTCATCATGTTTGTTCTTCCTAGAAATTTCCTATTGAATTTAAGGTGGAGTGGTTATTTTTAAGATAATTAGATAATTTATCTTCCAAACTGTAGTGGTTTTGAGAGTGAATGAGTAGCAGGTATAGACTAGAATTTTCCTAGGCAAGAAAATTTCTATGACTGCTTTGGTTGTTTGAGGTGACTTTGCTTTAGTTTCTCCTAGTTTCCCAAACACAAACTATGGCTAGATGGTTGTTACTTAAAGAAGCCTAAATATGGTGTTTTGTGGAGATCATGACCACTTTTCTGAGAGATTTGTAAATGTCAGAGGTAGAATTTATTGCTGGTTCTATTACAAAGAGTTGTCTTTCAGCCTAACAGAGAAATCATCTCTGAAAAATCAGTCTCTGGTTATGTTTGTGTCTCTTGCAGCCTGGTATTCAAAAAGCACTGAACTGATTCTGTTATCAAGGGTAAGCCCTTCCTCTGTGTGAGCCACATGCTCCAGTCATATCTTACTGAAGTTTTTAATGACCTAAGATTTGTCTCAGAGAATCTAACTGTAAACTTTGAGAAGTGACAATTTATGTAATTATTGATAATTCATTTTCTGAGATTTTTATAAAAAATGTACACATAATCTGACCACAATATCTGAAGGTACCATGAAAACAGGTACCTGAGAACAAATGGCACTAAGGATCCTAAGGGAAGCTTCATGTTAAAGAATTCCATGGGCTGATGCTTGCAGAGGAAGAAGATGGCAATTAGTGGTAAAAGGCAAAGGTAGTGTTGCCAGAATGTCATGAGATGACAGTGTCAGGTTTCAAACCAAATTCGCAGCTCAGTGCACAACTAAGGCTTTGTCAAGGAAATAGAACCACTGGTAGCTGATTGCCCCTGAGTGATGACTACAACAGGGCCCTGTTGAATGAGACCCCAAAGTATATTTTGTTCATTGTGTTTCATATACCAATGTTAGTTAAGTTTGTATTAATATATGTCATAGTTTAGATATTTTTGAAAGAACTAGGAGGAGATTCTCATTTAGCAATGGCTATATTCTAAGTAATAATTACATGGAGAAATTCTGAATGAATGAGCTGACCCTGGCATGACAACAACTATTCTTTCCACAATGGAGTCAACCATGTTCAGCTCTCAGGAAAGTCTTTAGGCCTGACAATCTATGTATGATCCAGGTATTTGTTGATCCTAAAGAACCAGATCACAGAGAGAAAGCAAAGCCCAGGGGACATTTTTTCAACAGGAATGAGTGAAGAATGAGGATTTTTGGTTAACTACCATATTCAGTTAGCAGTTTTAAGTGAATTAGATAACTATTTCCCTGTGTTCCCTCTAGCACTAGTTTCATGAGATGTTAAAAGTATCCCAAGAAAAAAAAAATCACCAATGAAATAAATTTGGAAAATAGGGCATATTATTATCATTTTCTCAAAGCTTTGCAGGTATCTATTCCATGTAGATGAATCTTGTATTGATAAGCAGTTTTTAGCCATGGCCTTTAGCAGAGGGGCAACCTGCTTTGGTTCTTTGATACTTTGATATTCTTTTTACCTCTCATTGTTAAAATATGACTACTCACTGGTTAAATGAATCACATTTCAAGTTTCCTAAATCTATAATTTATATGTGTATGTGCACATATATGCATATAAATTTATCTAGTCTCTGAAACTACAACTTAATTTTTATTGTATATATTAAATGTACGCAGGAGGGTTTTATCAGATTTCCATACATGTATTCAATGTACTTTGATCATATTCATTCCTCCATTACTCCCTCTTACCACCTTCCTCATTTCTGTTTTGCCTTTTTCCTTCTACTTCCTTTATAGTTCTCCTTCTGTTTTCACGACCTTGTTTTTACTTTTCTTTGTTTTTGGATTTTCTTGCCCCTCTTAACTTCCATAAATGAGAGAAAAATATGTGATACTTTTCTTTATGGGACTGGCTTATTTCACTTAATGAGATGACCCATTTTCCAGCAAATAACACAATATGTATGAGTAAAACTCCATTTTGTGCATATATACTACATTTTCCTTAACCATTCATCTGTTGATGTTCACCTTGGCTGATTCCATAATTCAGCAATCCTGGATAGTGCCATGATAAACATGAGTATACATGTATCTCTACAGCAAGTTGATTTTGATTCTCATGGGTATATACCAGGGGTGCTGTGACTGGACCATAAAGAAGTTTTATATATATATATATATATGAACTAATTTCCATAGTTCATGAACTAATTTACATTCCCATCAATAGTGAATAAGAGTTCGCTTTTCCCAGAATCCTCACCAGCATTTGTTGTTATTTGTTTTCTTAATAATAGCCAATCCAACTGGGGTTAGATGGAATCTCAATGTAGTTTTGATTTGCATTTGCACCTTTAGCCTTAGGATGGCTAAGGATGGTAAACATTTTTTCATGTATTCATTACCAGTTGTACTTTATTTGGAAAATATCTGTTGTGTTCGTTGGCCCATTTATTCGATTAGATTATTTGCTTTTTTGGTATTTAAGTTTTTATGTTCTTTTTATCTTGCACATGGCTGATCTCATCTGAGACTCAACCTTTAAAAATGATTTAACATTGCTTAATTCAGAGTTTCCTGAACTTACGTATCTTCAAAGAATGCAAAATAATATCTGGAATAACTAATTTAGAAACAGTCATATATACCAAATACTAAAATTGTGCAAGTGTCCTTGGTTTAGTTTTCAGTTCTTTAGTTTTGCCAGCATAGCATTTGCGGTTAGGATGACCATCACTTTTCATTCATTGTCCTATATTTGAGAAAGCATCTATAAATGAAGCTTTCAATTTATTTAAATCCTGGAAAAAATAGATTTCAGTTCTTCTTGTAACTTTCTATTTAGGTGACTGATCAAGATTTAATTGATGTGTTGACATGAGCATGTTTTGAGCATTTACTCAAAGGTTAGTGTCAAAAGACATTAATGTCCTGGTGGGCTTGTGTTTTTCTCTGAGGCAGATATTGATGAATGTACAGAGGGAATCATTGAGTGCCACAACCATTCCCGCTGCGTTAACCTGCCAGGGTGGTACCACTGTGAGTGCAGAAGTGGTTTCCATGACGATGGAACCTATTCACTGTCCGGGGAATCCTGTATTGGTAAGCAGCTTTCAGTCATGCTCTCCATCCACCTGGACTTTTGCAGAGAAGACAGCCTTCTTTGGTATTCTGTTTGGTTCTCAGTGTTAAAATATGACCAGTCATTGATTAAGTTAGTCAGTTTTCAAATTTCCTCCCTCTACAATTCAGAGATTAAGCCAGGGATTATACAGAGTGGGGTTTTAGAATTTTATACAGAAACTGGAGCAGTCAGGGGAACAAAGCCGGGATCTGTATGCTATGAGTGTTTAGTTCTTTCTATGGAAAAGCTCAATGATTTGTTGAAATTTTTGACAGTTTAAGAGGCAGCTGTGGGGAAGAAGAAATAATACTAGATTTAGAAATAGGAAGTTTAGTTTAAATGCTAGCTCTTGTGCTTCAAAAGTCACTCTACTCTCTGATCCTTCATCTGTGTGTGTGTAAACATGGGGATAATAATGCAAATATATTGTTAGGATTAGTGGGATGCCATGTGTTTAAAAATTGCAAGCTTTGGGTTAATGCACTTATGTAATATAGTTGCATTAACCTTATTGTTGCTACTACTGCCATCACCATCATCTCTTGCAAAGTCACTCCTTACTACCATTCTGCTTGTTGTGATGTTAAAAGCTGAACATAGAAGGTTAACAGATAGAGTTCTTCACCTTCAAGACCTTACAACTTTTGTGAAATCCAAACACCTGATCCAAAATTTAACTGTTTCCATAAGAACCTTGGCCAATCCAGGTCTTTCATGCCATGTGGACTCAGCTGAATTCTTAATGCTCAACAGACCTAGAGGGCAAGGATTCTGACTTCGTAGCTTCCAAAAGCACAAAAAAGCACATGAAAAAATGCTCACCATCTCTAGCCATAAAGGAAATGCAAATTAAAACCACATTAAGATTCCACCTCACCCCTGTTAAAATAGCCATCATTAGCAACACCACTTTCAACAGGTGTTGGCGAGGATTCGGAGATAAAGGAACCCTCTTACACTGCTGGTGGGAATGCAAACTAGTACAACCACTCTGGAAAAAAATCTGGAGGCTTCTTAAAAATCTAAACATAGATCTACCATATGATCCAGCAATACCACTTTTGGGGATATACCCAAAAGACTGTGACACAGGTTACTCCAGAGGCACTTGCACACCCATGTTTATTGCAGCACTATTCACAATAGCCAAGTTATGGAAACAGCCAAGATGCCCCACTACTGACGAATGGATTAAGAAAACGTGGTATTTATACACAATGGAATTTTATGCAGCCATGAAGAAGAATGAAATGTTATCATTTGCTGGTAAATGTATGGAATTGGAGAACATCATTCTGAGTGAGGTTAGCCTGGCCCAAAAGACCAAAAATCATATGTTCTCCCTCATATGTGGACATTAGATCAAGGGTAATCACAGCAAGGGGACTGGACTCTGATCACATGATAAAGCGAGAGCACACAAGGGAGGTATGAGGATAGGTAAGACACCTAAAAAACTAGATAGCATTTGTTGCCCTCAACACAGAGAAACGAAAGCAGATACCTTCAAAGCAACTGAGGCCAATAGGAGAAGGGGACCAGGAACTAGAGGAAAGGTTAGTTCAAGAAGAATTAACTTAGAAGGTAACACACATGCACAGCAAAGCAATGCGAGTCAACTCCCTGTATAGCTATCCTTATCTCAACTAGCAAAAACCCTTGTTCCTTCCTATTATTGCTTATATTCTCTCCTCAACAAAATTAGAAATAAGCGCAAAATAGTTTCTGCTGGGTATTGAGGGGATGGGGGGAAAGGAAGGGGTTGGGGAGGTAAGAGAGGGGGCGAGGAAGTAGGGAGAAATGATACTTTTGTATGCACATATGAATAAAAGAAAAAAAAAGAGAAACCTAGTCAGTGTTGTTCTAACTTCTCTGCCAAGTGTTGCCAAAAGGCAAAGGTAAATTAAGGAATAATGGCACACAGCATGAATTTCCCACCACAGCCTTGACATTACTGTTGAGAGCCAGGTTGTATAGTAGGTAAAAACACAGAGCCTTGGGCCAAATTTCTGCAGTCAAATGCCAGCTCTACCACTTCTAAGTTATTACCTTGGCCAGATTTATATCTATTATGCACATCAGCTATCTTATATGTAAAAGAAACAGTGTTTATATCTTATTAATATAAGCATTTTGATACATAATGGAATTAATATTTATTAAATATTGGGTAAGTGTAAGTTATTATCTTAAATGTCCCTGCATATTCAGCATGCTGACCCATAGTCTGTCAATATTTCTTTTATGTTTAGTGATTTATAACTTCACAGAGGAATTCATATTTATCTCAGGTGTTTTTGTTTTTTTATCAATTTTGTATTTATTCACATGTGGATACATTGTTTGGGCCAGCTCCCCTATCCCAGGTCTTCACATTCTTTCTTTACATATTACTAGGTACTTCTGTACATGTGCAACTCATAAAATGATTTTATGTGGATAAGAATAGATCAAATAGATGACTGTCACTGGGGAATGGAAACAGAGACAATATTAACATTGAGGCTTAAAATGAAATTAAATTTTACTAAGTATATTTGACATCACCAAGAAGGGAGATGCTTAGATTTTTAGTGTATAGTGAATTTAGAGCTTACCTAGTTAAAACAATCTTACAACTGCCTAGACCTGCCATGTTGCTGCACCCTCCTGTGCCTTTGTACAAGTTGTCCCCTGTCCCCTCTGGCATAAATGGCACATGGTGATCCACTTATGAATTTGTCTTCACTTTCCTAGATTCAGCACATTTCATCAGATCTCATGAAGTGTTCTTTGATGTCTTCATAAGAGTTATCACTCTTCTATTCTGCTGACTCTACACCTTTTACCTGTAGGTTTCACATGCTGCACTGCAGTGCAGTGTCTTTGCTCTCTGACATGACTGTGTGATGGAAGTATACTTTATTCTTCTGTCTCTCCAGTGAGACACTTCAGTAGTTAGCATTCAATAAGTGAGAAAATGCAATCACTTCATATGACCAGGAAAGAAACTCAGTTTCAGAAAAGGTGACATCTTGCTCCAACCACATAGCTGTTTGTTACAAGATAAGATCCAGGCCTAGGTCAAAGGAAAGTCTGCATCACAGATTCTAGGGACAGTCCCCATTAGTGCCTGCATTCTGAGGTAATTATCATTGGTACCCTGTCATTCTCATGAATGTTCCAGTTAAGATGACAGCTGTTATAGTTATCCAATCCAGTGCCTGTCCTGGTTCTCTTTTCTCTCTGCCAGGCTGTTGGTGTGTGTGTGTGTGTGTGTGTGTGTGTGTGTGTAAGTTCCTACTTTCTCATGAGGAGGCACTTGCTTCACCATGACCTGATTCCTGATTTATACAAGAAAACCACAGTAAACTGGACACGTGGCAAGGGAATAGAGCTGTTTTGTTTCGTGGCATTTTGAATTTGGTTATTTGTTAATCTGAAATTCATTTCCATATTTTTTGGAGAAATCCTTTTAAATGGGCATCGTAAGGACAGAAATCTCATCATTTCGTAGTGTTTCTTTAGTAGTTGAGAATGCTCTACTGGTTTCAAATATTTCCTGGACAAACACATATATAAATCAGAAGATACCACTTTCTTATGACTAATATATCTAATATAGTATGTTTAATACTATCCCATTGAACAAAAAACAAATGTCTAGCCTCATATGGCCTTCAGATTTAGGTGAGAGTGCCTTGTGGATTTATCTCCTATCTTTGTTAGCATTTTTGATCTTTTCATGTGCTGACCTGACAAAAAGCCTTGTGGCCTTTGCCTTTGCTGTTCTCTCTGGAACTCTCAACACTTATCTTATGGCATGACTCTCTCATACTTTAGGTCTCATATAAAATATTACTTTTTCATGGAGACCCTGACTACCTTATCTTTCTCAGTCACTTCATTACAATGTTCTTTTAAAATATTTTAGCTTATCTCAAATTTTCTGTGCACGAGCATCTGTCAAATTATCTCTTGCCTCAAATATACAAGTTCTTTTGCGTCAGAGACATTATCTGTCTTTCACCATTGTACTTCTGTCCCCTAGAATAATATAGACAAATAGTAGACATTCCATGTACCTATGTCAAATGATTCAAGGAACGACATTCAAAACCACATCACATCAGATATATTTTCTATTTAGCTTAACATAAAAACTAGTTCTATACATTGTGGTACATGGCATGTGATGTTACATATCCCCAAACCATATGAGTCTTTTATTTCAGGAAAAATATTGAGAAAAACCATCATGCCAGCACTGAAGTAGACCTGTTGGAATTATAATTAGGAGCAAGTTAAGATATCTGTTCTTGAGGGATTTGTGACCTGAAATATTCTGAATATTCATAACATAATGACTATATATTTATTATTTAATTATATAATGTTATGTAGTTATATGTATACAATTATGTAGTATTATATATGATAATTTTAATAATATATAATAGTAGTAACACATCTTAGTGGCACTGAAAATTAACCAGCACATCAGCATAAATCCTAAATAATTCCAACCACTAGTGCTTAGATCTAAAAAGAAACATCAACATCTAAAACCACCTTTAAAATTAAAAAAAAAAAGTGGTTTTGCAACATGTACTCAGCTATGCTTTTTCCCCAGACAATTATAGGAATAGCAAATGTTAGACTCTTAAAATGTAGTTTAGGCTTTTAGAAGAATAATCTTGTGTCATTCCATGGCATTTTTTTGTCAGATGAGGATAATAGCACCTGCTCTACTGATTTTATCTACTGCTGTAAACACTGAATATATATTGGCACTATAAATAGCACTCTTGTAAGATTTAATATTTTATGATAAAAAATATTTAAGATTTGTCTTTTTCCCCAAAGTAAAAGAAATTAAAGCCAAGGTTATTATAAAGGCAGACAATTACTACATGAGTTTAAGCCTTTCTCTCTCTCTCTCTCTCACACACACACACACACACACACACTCATTTTCTTGTGTATCTTTATAATGGCA